CACCACCATTAATCATTAGGGAAACATTGATTAAAACCACAATGAGCTTAAAATCACTTTAGAATTTTAAAATTAAAAAGGCTGATTATACTAAGTCATAACTAGGGTGTAGAGCAACTGAAACTCTTATACACTGCTTGTGGGAATATAAAACTACTTTGGAAACAGTTTGGTAATTTCTTAAAAAATTAAGCATATATTTACCATCTTTCCAGAATCCTCTCTATACATTTTTTGTATAAAAAGAGCATATGATTATTTGAAAATGAGAGAGCTCTCATTTCTCAAAATGAGAAAACTATTTAATCCAATCTTAATTTTGATTTTGCATAATGTTGCCAATTTAATTTATTTTCCAAGTTGGAGTGCTCTTTTAGCTCAGCCACAGTTTTTTTTCAGACTTCCTACTTCCCTGTTCTTAACAATCCCCAAAAGTGTTGTTGGCAGCTGAAATGGCTCTTGTTTCATCAGCTCCCAGGATTTCCACAGTGGTGGCCAGGGTTTCAGGGACCTAGCTGAACATAAATGGAAATGAGAAGGGTGAACAAAGAGTTTAAATAGTTTAGTGTATAAACTGGTTTATATAAGGATAGGCTTGCTTCTCTGCTTCTTGATTTTCATGTATGTAGTTGTGGCTCCAAAGACTGTGCTGGTTTTGAATGTTAGCTTTGGCACTCTTTCACGATTCTAGACATGCTGTCTATTTATAAAGAGCTCGGGGGACTGAACACGTAAGAGTAAATCCAAAGTTAAGGGAACAAGTCTCGACATCGAAGATCGTCACCTCCACAAGCCATTAGGAGACTGACTTATATTTTAGTTTCCTCTTAGGAGCATTTGTTTCTTCTTACTCTTCTGTAACACTAGGGCTTACAAATGGAGTTCAGTAAGTATACTGGCTACCAAGGAGAGGGAAGGGAGCAGAGCAGCTCTGGAAAACCCATGGCAGTAGAAATCCCTTCTCCCCCAGCCAGAAGACCACTCTTAATTTAGAAATTTTAAGCCCTATATGATAAGAATTTCTAGCAGAAGTACAGTTTTCTTCAAGTGAGTTAAAATTATGGTACATTATCTACTAATTTACTTTTTTGGATATCATACCATATAACATAATAATGTTTTAACTTTAATATAGCCTTTAAAGACTTCTAGTATAAGTTCATACTGTTCTTACTGTTCTGTTTCATGTTAATGCTAAATTTTTTTGAGGGGACAAGAGTTATAGTCTCTGTAATTCAGTTTTGGTGATATTTGTTTAATTATGCACTACTAATGTTGATGTAAGGAAAATTATTTTTTAATGGAATATAATTTTTTTATCCATAAGTTTGCTTCACACAATATAATTGTGACATTGTGTTCTTAATCGTGTCTTCATTTTACAATTCTTACATTAAGAAATTGTATTACATGCATTTCTATTTGGTATTATATTCTTATTTATTGTATAAGGTTTAATTTCTGGTTCTGAATAACATTAGTACCATTTACCAGTTTTAGGTGGAATTCATACTAATCCCTGAACTGTAATACACATTAAAATAGCTAAAGCATTAGAAATTTTGGCACTCGAGCCCTTAAAGGTAATTTCCTTCTAAGCCAGTTAGTATGGTGATACGTAACTAAAAATGGATTAGTATAAGTTGTTCTTTTAGCTCTATATCCTGTTTCTTCTTTCTCCTTAATCTTTTCTTAAAAAGTAACTATAGATAGCAAATAGAATGATGGCAACAGAAATCAGACTGCCTCTTTCCTGCTCCCAACTCCCAACTCATCTACTTCGGAGCCAAGCAGCTGCCAATGCAGATAGGTAGATGGCACCTGGAGGTTCTCAGCCATGAGACCTGTTATGATGCTTTCCTTCTTCTGGGACAAACTCAAGGTTGCATCAGTGTAGGGGAGCCCTTGGAAAGAATCTGAGAGGCAGGTGAGTGATAGTAAGAGACTGCAATCCCATATCCATTCAACTTATTCACTAGTAAGGGTAAAAGAAAGATATTTACAAATGAACATATTTACAAATGAGAGAACATTCACATTTGATACCCGATCCAAGAAAAATGCTTGAAAAATGACTTAAATATTTATGAGTACCAATATTTATAAAATACAAATTTTAAAAGTCTGGCAAGTCCAACAATGTATTTTTCCCCATAGTTGAAGTTCTCCCCTGCATTGCTAAAATTTAGCAAGTTATATTTGTATAGGCACATATATTTAGAATGTCATCATATTTCATCTGTTAGGCAAATGTATGATTTTGGACAGATTTTTCTTTTGAACAGAATTAAAAACTCATCCTTACGCTTTTATATCTATGGTATTAATTGCTTTGACTTCATGACTGTCCTAGTGATTTAGCTAGAAGGATCCTGAAATTTAGAGTCAGAAGGTCTTTAATTTCAGTCATTTACTAGTAGAGGCAAGTTACTAAACTGCTCTGGTTTTCTTTATCTTTGAATATGAATCCTATGTTATAGATTGTTAGAGAAATTAATGAACATATAAATATGTCTTAACAGGTGTTTTTATCAAAAACACCAATCATCTTTCTTTAGGAATGGGAATTACCATATTTTCAAGACAGTGGTTATAAATGGAGGAGGGTAGGAGCTGCCACGGAGGGGGATTTTGTAGGGTAGGAGACTTTAACAATACTGTTTGGGTTTGGGGGGGGTTTTGTTGTTGTTTTTTGGATGTGGATACTCATCATCCTGCGTATTTTTCTATGTCTTAAATATTTAATTGTTAAAATAATCTTCCTAATGAAATGCATGAAACTTTGCCATGAAATATCTTAACCAGTAAAGTGTCTTAACATTTTTCTATCAAAGGACTTCCTAAGACACTCTGAAATGTATGCTTCATAATTCTTAGCTTGTTTGGGACCTGCTAGTCAGAATATCATTTCCTTCATGCCATTCTAGTGATGTAATATTGCACAAAGTATCACGTTTCTACTGTGTGTGTTAAGTAATTGGCAGAGGTCACAAATTGTCTGTTTGGGGATTGAACCTGGCTCTTAGAAGTACTGTTTGTCCCACGCAGTATTGGTCTTTATGGAAACTTAAAGTCTCATGAAAAATCAAGAAATGTCCTAACCCTGAGTTTGCATTTCTGTATGACAACGGTGAGTTGGTGCCAAGTCTCAGCTGCTCCCTTGACCTAGGCCACGTGCTTACTGTTCTGCACCCTCACTGTGCTCCCTGATACTGAGGCCAAGTGTCATTTGCCTTTTATCATCATAAATGTTTATATTACTGCTTGGCCCCCGTAGGCAGTTTAGTTTATAACTCTTAGGTTGTATTCAGTAGATGTCACAATCTTCTATTGATATTTTGCTGTGATATCTTAACTTGAGGTTACATATTTTCAGTACTTTGTAACTTTATAAAGCTCGCTTGTGTACATTTTCTCTATAAACCTAATGTAAAGTACTATTTTTAAGTTTGTCAACTCCTCCTTCTGTCAGTCAGTCCTTTCATGTTACAAAGTAATTACTTCTCAAATCTAGTTCTTCCTGTCCAACCCTACCACCACTGCTCCACCTCAGGCCCTCATCATCTCTCACCTGGAATTCTTTAATTGCTTTCTGACTGAGCTCCTCATCTCCAGTCACATTTCTTTCAGTTCATCCTCAAGTGTATCGCTAGAAAGTGCAGATCTCCTCTCCTCACACCACTGTTTCAAATTCTTCTGAGTTTCTCTCTCTTCTATGGCAAGATCTGCAAATGTTTCCTGAAAGGTCCAGATAGTAACTTTTTAGGCTTTGCTGGCCAGAAGTTTCCTGCCACAAAAAATGGACTCTGCTGTGGTTGGACTGAGCACAAAGCACCCACAGACAGTACGTAAACAAATGGGAATGGCTGTTCCAATAAAACGTATTTACAAAACCAGGTCACCAGTCTAGGGCCATGGTTTGTTAACCCTTGTTCTAGGATAGGAAAGACTCTCCCTATCTTTCTTCCTGTCTTAACTACTACTCTTCCATCCTGTTTCTTACAGTTTATTCAGAAGCACCGCTCAGATTCTTAAACCTTTCTTGTACATCTTCTTTCTATATCCAGTTATTTAATTCTTTCATTCAAACCATTTTTTCACAGAGAAATATTAAAATATATCTTATAAAATGTTAATTCTCAAATGATGGTATCATATTGAAACATGAGGCTGTTTAGTCACTTGCTGACATCTTTATAAATGTATAGTGAAGTACAGTCTTAAATGTTAAAAAGAGTTTTTAACAAATCTTTCATAAAAATCTGTAACTTTGATACAATCCATTGTTGTGGCTTATGGCTTGGATACTATCAACACATTATCGGAAAATCTCAGAATAAGGTCACTGATAGGAAAGGAGTTTAATTTCAACATTATCAAGTGTATTGAATCAAGGTTCTTTGAGAAAACAATTTTAGGACTGTTAGTAGGAATTGAAAGCATGTAACTCACATTGTGTCCTATCTTCATCACAGCTGCCCCTTGCAAATAGTTAGGAAAGCAGAAAATATTTGGTTTTAGGGTACGACTTGCCTGAAGTATTGGATGTCAAATTGCCACTTAAATTCTAATAGATCACTTTACACAGTTCCAAATGCAAAAAAAACAACAGAACTTGATAATACGTTGTTAAATATATTAACAGTGTGGGTTTTGCCTCATTATTAAATTGCAGTTTTTAAGCTATTGCTGATTGGTACTGATTTAGGTGCTGATTTAGGCTATTGCTGATTGATGTTGGATAGTAAACAAAACCTTTTCCAGTAAAAAAATGAAAGAAATTCATTCTTGCATCATATTAATGAAAAGTGTGATTTGATTACTGTGGTGAGAGTAGATTAGTAGAGCTGCTGTGATGGAATTTTGTTAAGATGTGAATGGATATTAAGCTTGATAAGATAAAGTCCTCTAAATTTTCTGATATTTGCATAATAATACATTAATTTAAAACTCTCTTTATTAAAATTGACCTGTAAATGTCTTTTATGGTTGATTTTTAGCCACCAGCTGAACAGGCCAAAGCCAGACTACAGCTGGTTCTTGAAGCTGCTGGTAAGTGCATAATTTATTTAAATGAAAAAGTACTAAATAAATCTTAACATGCTTACAGGTGGGTCAAAGAAAAAAAAACACCTATTTTCATGTAGCTTCACAAATTTATGAAATTTAGGTTATATGTATGGCCATATTTTATAGGAAATATTTATTGCTACAGTATAATGCTAAAAAGTCATTCTTTACCTTTTTATTTATAAAATTGGCTTCAATTTTAGTTTCAGTTTTGATAAAGTCCAATTTATTGACTTTGCTTTTGGTGGTATATTTAAGAATTCTTTACCTAACCCCACATCACATCATAAAAATCTCCTCCTATATTTTCTTCTAAAAGTTTTATACTTTTGCATTTAAGACCATATATGATCTATTTTGACTTAACTTTTGTATAAAGTGTGAGTTTAAATCACGTTTTCATTGTTCTAAAGGAAACAAGGTAAATGTAATATAGTAATTTCTCAATTGCATTGGACTAACTCATTGGACTGTTCTGGGTACCATCTAACCTTAAAATACCATATGTTTTGTTTTTCAATGATACAGTAATGCAGTGACTTTGATTTTACATATAATGCCCAGATTTATGTAGACATTAAATATTTTACCTTTTCAAAAAACATGAAAGATCAATGTTATCTTTTCTAAGTACTGATATTTTACTTTGAATCTTAATGTGCTCTTCAAAATGTATGTAACTTATTTAAATAAGTTGTTAAGGTTAAGCATGAGGGAGGGTTAGAATAATAATGCCAAAGTAGTACATATTTCTTAAAATTATTTACTTTTTAAAGATCTGTAAAGAGTCCATAATTTCCAATTGGAAAGTGAGAATTCTATTTCAACATCAAAAGTAATTTCGGACTACCAGATGATAGTAGTTGTATTTTTAGTTTCATTGATTGGGAAAATACATATGTGCATATTGATTCAAGGAGTTCTTGGATTAACTCCTACCAAGAGTGTCCACAGTTTAAAGATTGGGAGCACCAGTGTAAATGATACACTAGCTTCATAAACACTAACAGAAAATAAAGGGATAAAAATTGATAAATACTTTGACTATGAGTCTCTATACCACTCCATATTTCTTTAAAAGTCATTATATTTTATGAATTACTATTACTCATTTTATCTTTAATTATGTAGAAATTACAATTTCTACATAGTATTACAGTTTTGCTTGCTATCAGGTTTTTCATATTTTGACTCAAATATACCGTAAGATAAACTAGTTAATATGATTCTCTATCATTTACATAAAGTACATGGATTTTTTAGTAGCATTTTGCTTTGAAAAATTATTTCCAGTTCATAATTTGAGTATGGACAAACTCTTAAAGAAAATTTTTATGGTGCTTAGTTCGGACAATATTTGTTTCCATTATTATAACTATAAAGAATTTCATTTCATAGTTTTATACAGTTATCTTTATCTTTTAATATGATTTTGAAGCATATTATAAAACAGATCGGACACTCCAAACCTCATAGTATATAACTTGCTTATATTGGTCCCAGCTGTCACCCCTCATATTTTAATTTAACTTTCTAAATTCTGTTATGGATAAAGAGCTAGGTTCTGTGAATTTGAGATGCATTCAAATTATTATGACAATTTTACAAATTAGAAAACTTACATTAGCTGGATAAGCAAAGGACAGACCTTAGCTACATGTAGCATTATTTACTTAATAATTTTCTTCTTTATTTAACATGTTGTCCCCACCCAGCATTTCCCTCTTATCAGTTACACTGTGATATATGTCCTGTTACAAATTATGTTTTTTATATTTTACATTATTTTCTTGGAATTGATTACTATAGAAATGAATTTATGAGGTTAGAGGGTATTAACATTTAGAGTGACTTTTTATGCATTTTTGCTAAATTGTTTCGCAAAAGGACTGCGCTACTTTACATTTCCACTGATTAAACATTTTTACCAAGACTTCACTTTTGATGCCAATTCCATGAATATATTGCTTTATAATATGGCATAACATATTACACCCCTTTGGAAAACATCCTGTACTGCTTTTAATGAGAACGTGTGGATCACTTCTCGGCTTTTTGGCTAAGATCAAGTGTAATGAGAACGTGTGGACTTGGAGAGAAATAGGTGGATGGATAGGGGAGTAGGATATAAGCAAATACAGAACTTATTCTCAAAGTTCTAGATCTCTTTCAGTGAAGAATAGAAGGTGTTCATGGTATTATTAAAAACAAATAAAGGAAGGGGGAATAAGATGAACTTGAGCTTAGTCTGGAAGTCTTGCTATTAAAGTCTAGCTCACTCCTATGATTGAGGTACCTGTATAGGAAGGTCTGGTAGCACCCATTTTGTCACATTGGAGGAAGTTTACTTGGGTTCTCAGGGAAAACATCCTTGACTTTGGGGCCTTAAAATTGAGTACAAGGGAAGACTTAAGGCTGTATGTTAAGATTCTTGAGATAGGATTTATTTCAGCTTTATAGTTACTATAATCTGGTAGATAGGGTTTCTATATAAAGAAATCCTGAAGCTACTTAGTCCTTTATTCTAACCTCAGGTCCCAGAAGAAAGTTTTATATGTAACCATTGCATTGTTATTGATTTATGAGTGAATGTTAATGATGTTATTGGTTTGGAATTAAAATATATTTAGAACATTTGGCAACAATTATTAGTGGTATGATTTTGAAAGACGTGTATGAGTGAAATAACATTAAGCAAAATGTAAGGTATCATGCATATTATACCAAACATGAATTTGAAGTCATAGATTTTATTGTATTTGTTATGATCATATTTTTTATACATTAAATTTACATATTTATACTTTGTTATGCTAAATCTTCAGATTTAGATAGAATCTTTTTTCATGTTCATTACTAAATTACAATTGAAACCAAAATTCATGTCTCTTGTTTAACTTTTAATTCAAAGGTGATGTGAAGTTAAGGTTATATCTAAGATTGCTTTTCTGTTGTTTTCAAATGGCAACAGGACACAGAAGGTTACAGAACTGTATAAATTTGTAAGACAGAATCTTTAAGTTGTAACCTCAGCTAATGGCTTACCCTATGATATTGAGTAAATCCTATTAACCCTTTGTGCCATGCTTTCTTTTCCTTTCTGTCTTAAAAATGCTTTTACCATTCTCCCATTTATTAAGATGCAAAACTTTGAAATTTTTATCTTTGACTTCTTAAGAGGCAATGATTCACCTAGAATAAATGATCTTATTTTGAAGTGTTTTTTATATTTAGCCCTTTATTATCTTTCCCACTGCCATCTCCTTAGTCTAGATGCCAAACATTTCACCCAAAGGTTAATCTGTGACATCCTAATTGGTCTCTTGCTTCAGTTCTCTTCTCTGGAGATGGTAGTGAAAAGTGGATGGGTTCTAAGCCTGCTTACACTACTTACTCTTTGTGACCTTGATGTTTATTGGTTAGCCAAAACAGAGGTATTTTTAAAAAAAATGGAACATGACAAATGTATATATTTTCTAGTTTACTATAGTTCTCTGTTTTTTAAAAAGTAATTTGTTGAGGTGAAATTCACATAATATAAAATCAATCGTAATTGTTTAAAGTGAACAAACCAGTGGCATTAAGTACATTCACAGTGCTGTATAACTATCACCTCTCTCTAGTTCCAAAACATTTCCATCACTCCAAAGTAAAACCTCTTACCTATGAAGCAGTTTATCTTCACTCCCTGGACCCCCTGCAACCACCAATCTGCCCTCTGTTTATGTGGGTTTATCTATTCTGGATATATATAATGGAATCATACAATGTGTGACCTTGTGTGTCTGGCTTCTGTCCTTAGCATAATGTTTTGGAGGTACAGCCACATTGCAGCATGTATAAGTATTTTATTTCTTTTTATGGCTGAATAATATCCCATTGTCTGTACACCATTTATCCATTCATATATTGATGGAAATTTGGGTTACTTCCACCTTCTGACTGTTATGAGTAAGTGTTGCTATCAACATGCATATACATGTACTTGTTTGGGTACCTATTTTGTAATTTTGGGTGGTATATACCTAGAAGTGTAATTGTGGGGTCATTTGGTAATTCACCAAACTTTTCCAGTGTCTGAGCGATATTACATTTTCATCAGCAGTGTAGGAGGATAGTCCCCTACTATTTCAGCTAAACCATGTCACACATTTAAATTACCTATTTGAAAGTATTTAGCTTTGGGAACTTCTCTGTACCATAATTTACTCATTTGAAAAAGGGCAAGATTATAACTACTTTATAGGATTTTTGTGAAGGTAAGTATAATATGTGAAATGTCTAGCCCAGAGCCTGGTGAATGGTAGACTCCAGAAAATGTTTATTTCCATATTGCTTTTTGTGATTACCACTGCTAGATGGTTCTTTTTCAGCCACCATTTGGTCATGCTACTACTTTGGCTCAAAATTAGTCACTGGCCCTCAGTTTCTTACAAAATTAATTTTGCACTTCTATGCCTAAGGTTCCAATGTTCGGTATGGTGGATCCACAGATTTTTCTATATTTATTAGAATTCATTTCTGAACTTCTTATTATTCTTTGAGTTACTCATTCTTCTGCATTTATTAGAATTCATTTCTTTTTTTTTTTTTTTTTTATTCATGAGAGACAGAGCGAGAGAGAAAGGCAGAGGGAGAAGCAGGCTCCCAAGGAGCAGGGAGCCCGATGCGGGACTCGATCCCAGGACCCTGAGATCATGACCTGAGCCGAAGGCAGACGCTTAACCATCTGAGCCACCCAGGCGCCCTAGAATTCATTTCTGAGCTTCTTCTCATTATTCTTTGAGTTACTTGTTCTTTTCTACCTATGGATCTTTGCTCATGATTTTCTCTCTTCTAGAAATGACTTCTTCCTTCCTCTTCCCACCTCTAAACACTTCAAAACAAATCTCAAATAATATTTCCACATGACTTTCATGACCATTCCAGCACATAATCTTTTCTCTTCTTTTTTGAATTCTTTCTGTCCTTGTCTGCATATA